GAGGATGTTCTCCCATGCAGGGATTGTTGAACTTTCCAGAACTCTCGAGGGACGAAATTCGAAAAAATCCTATAGTAACTCATTTCTTGTTAATTACGAAGTCTTCCAGCCGATCCTCGTCCGATACCGAAGGATCTCGATGAGTGTGCTAACCAAGAGCCGCCACAAGTACAAACAACCCATGATTGGTTGTCAACTGGAGATTTACTGAAACCTTCCCGAGAATCTTCAAACAGTTGCTCTTCGGGGTATTTTAGCTCTACAAGTTATTCAGCTCCATCTACTTGCCAGCTCGATAATGTAAGATAGTTTCTTTACTCTTATCATATATTGGTGTAGGCGTCTGATAGGCAAGACCAGTCGAATACTACTACTTCATGCCAATCCCAACTGAAATGGCCTAGGAAAGAACGACCTTGTTTAGAACTCCGCCGATCTCAGTCTTGTACTTCCACTTGGCTTGCAAAAAGGTCTCAAAAGCGACAGTCTTGGCCCCGCTTGTCTGGTATACTCCGGAGAAGTGCCACTGAACCCACTCCTGATTCTAACGCTGAGGGCTCTGGCCGCCGACCGCTGGTGGGTTATCGGAAGATCTCTTGCCATCCTGAGCTTTCTACGGTAGGCGAAGACTTGGATAATAGCAGGGACAGCGATTTGAATGCTGAAGACAATGAAGTACCAATGGCTGATCTCGACACTACGAACATTCTCTCACCTTGTGCGCCTGCCGCGAAAAAACAACGCAGATCCTCACCCACGCTCTGCCTATATTCTCCTGTAGCCGACGATCCCGCGGCCGCAGAGAGCCTCGACTCCACCACGCCCTTAGACGGTTCGGACTCGAGCGATTCACTTGTGGTCTCTGAGGAGCGGTACTCGAATGAAGTCTCGAAAGAACTTCCCTTTGATTTGCTTCGCCACCAGTCCACCCCAGTGACTAATGCGAAGAATGCAAGATGTCTCCGATCAAGAGAAGAGTACAAGCAACCTCCTCAACTTTCTCGTTGTGTCTCGGTTCCTGCACCCGTTTGCGCTGATGGGGTATGCTATAATTGCCTTGTAACAGTATCTGGTTATATAGAAATCCCGAACATAAACATTTCATTTTCTTTCGAGATGCAAGCTAGTGTTAACGAGGCTAACTGTATTAGAATTCTTTTAAACAGTTTAGTCTAAACCTGTGTACGCCCACCTTTACAAATGTGCTCGTTTTTCTCTTCCGCATGCTATGGCGATTGTTCGTTTACGTCCGTCAAATTGTTAGTGGTTGTTTGGTTATTTACTCTATACCCTCCGTGTATAATCGATATTATATACGGGTCATAACTCCGATACCCGGTCTCGGTGACTTCTGTTTACCGTTAACGAGCATGTTTTTCCACAAGAGAATATAACTGCACACAGTGTGTAGTCTTACACAATTTGAAGATTAATTTAGGCCTGTGTGTCATCTAGGGATGCTGTCACGCACGTCAAAATGTGGCATGCTATTCACAACCATAAAACTCTCGATAGCTCTACGTGCTATGGAGATATTCTTAGTCTAATCCAACATGTGCAACTGGAAGGGAATGGCTACTGTTGTCTAAAATAGTTTAGGTGCTCAGTGTGTGCAAATAGTGCCAATGGCGAAAGAGCTTATCAATCCATGCTTCATCATAGAATATTTTCTGGTGTGTTTTATCTCACTTAACTTTTATGCCGACAGACCTGGTTCCTGTTAACTCAAGCATCACGAACGACAATGTTTACTCTGAGCCCCACGACGAGGTGGGCGCAGGACGGCGACTTGTGCGTGAAGTAGTCAATACTGAAAGCAGACTTGTGAAGCATCTACTGCACTCTCACCTCCCACACACGTGGACCCAGTCAGACTAGAGTGCAGTGGATGACAAGGTCAAATACGCGACTTGTTTCACGCACAATGGATCGGGTTCTGACAAAAAGGCGGGCAGCT